AAAAAAATATATATATATATATATATATATATATATATATATATAATAAATAAAAATAAAAATTACAATAATTGAAGTGGTTTTTCAAAACGTTAGAACATTAGAAATAATTGTCCTTCAAAATTTCAAAGAAGACAGCAAGCGATAGACATAATTTATGACTATCCTTTAAAACAGTATGTTCAAAAGCAAGTGGATGACACTTATAACTGTCATTTTAAGATTCCTTCATCAAATTGAAATACATTTTCAAGTTCAGAGAATTCAAGACCTCTATATAAAGATAAAATCCTCAAAAAGAAAGGCATAGTGTAATTTTGAGAATATAAGAATTCTCTCTATAATATATCCTTTGTTTAAAATATTAGATTTTTTGAGATTTTTCAAGAGAAATTGTATCAATTCAAGGTAGGAACTAGTTGAGTCAAAGTTATCATTCAAAAAGTCAAAATTACTGTTTATTATTCATCGATTACGTATGTATTCATTTTCAAAATTATGTCCTTCAAAGTAATTGCAACTAGCTGCTTTTTATTCTACTATTTCAATATAGGAATTTTATATAAATTAGGTATTTTTGAATTTTGACCTCAATTTATTAATTTGAGAAGGTTCTTGAAAAACTCTTCCAATTTGATGAAGGAAACTTGAAATGACAATTATGACTGTCATCCACCTTCTTTCAAATAGACGACTTTGAAGGACAGTTATTAGTTCTGACTACCACTTGTTGTCTGCTATGAAACTTTAAAAGACAATTATTTCTCATTTTCTGAAGCTTTGAAGGATCACTTGAATTATTGCTTTTTCTTTCTGAGGATACACATTGTTGGATTAATTTATTGGTCATCCACCAAATCATCTATGCCATAACAATCATTACCATTTTTTTGGGCATAATCTTTAGTTTTCGAACCAGATGGACTCGAAACTTTTGATGTATTTGAAGTTAATTCTGCCAGAGAGGAAACTTGTTGAGCCAATAGTGCAAATTCTTCAGGATCATTGCACTGGGCTCTCATTGTCATCAACTTGCTTTATTCTGTTATAAAATTAGCTGCTTGTTCATGATTTTTTAAAGTTTTTTTTCTTTTTTTCTTTTTTAGAGTTCTTTGCAACTTGTATTGACTTAATAGTGAAGTGAAAGATATTATTAACTTATATTGATGTAATAGTGGAGTGAAAGATATGAACGATAATCGAGATTGACACATTTTCATATCTCGTAATTGATCGGATCATATTGACGAAGGGATTATAGTTTCACGATAAACTAACAAGTTTGGTTTTGTCATACTACGTGATATTTCTCGTCATATGTATTGCCCTAAAAAATTACTTGATATCAATCTGGGACAGTGAGTGAATTGGTGATAAATTAAAATAGTGTTTTAATTTATTAATTTTGATTAAATCAAAATAATATTTCATGTCGTTAGGCATCATGATTGGGAGCTTGATGGGTCGCATACAAAAAAGAACTGGAAGATTGAGATTTATCAAGTAATTAATTTAACAAGAGTTGGATAAATTAATTAATTTGGTTGCTTATTTATATACCCGAATTAATTAATTCATGGATCGAATTTAATTAAATAGAGTAATTAAATATTGGACGGGGTCAAACTTAGCCCATTTTGACTCATATAAATAAGTTATTAGGGTTTACAAATCGGTAGAGAGAATTCATTATTCTTGTTAGCACAAGAAGAAAATCTTAATCCTACAATCTTGTTCTCTGTGTAGATCACCGTTGGAGGTTAGACAATTGGACAGTTGTGGTTAGCAAATCAAGATCGTTGGAATGCAAGAAAAGACAAAGGAGTTTGCAGATCTAGAAAAAGATACGATCATTATTCTTGCTAGCAGAAGAAGAAAATCTTAATCCTGTAATCTTGTTCTCTGTGTGGATCACCGTCGGAGGTTAGACAATTGGACAGCTGTAGTTGGCAGATCAAGATAGTTGGAACACAAGAAAAGAAAAGGAGTTTGCAGATCTAGAAAAATGTACAATCTTTTTCATAATTTCTATCTAAACACAAAAAGATTCTCGATGGGAATCAAAAATTATTTTAATTTCCGCTCGCACGTTAAGTAGATGCCCAGCAATATCCTCCGTTTAGAATATTAGATTTTTTGAGATCGTTTCAAGAGAAATTGTATCAATTCAAGGTAGGATTAGTAAAGTTGCTGGTTGAGTCAAAGTTACAGTTGAAAAGGTCAAAATTACTGTTTATTATTCATCAATTACGTATGTATTCATTTTCAAAAATTATGTCCATCAAATTAATTGCAATTATCTGCTTTTTATTCTAGTATTTCAATATAGGTCTTGGATATAAATTAGGTATTTTTGAATTTTGACCTTAATTTATTAATTTGAGGAGGTTCTTGAAAAGCTCTTTCAATTTGACGAAGGAAACTTGAAATGACAATTATGATTGTCATCCACTTTCTTTTGAATAGACTGCTTCGAAGGACAGTTATCAGTTCTGTTTACCACTTATTGTTTGCCATGAAACTTTAAAGGACAATTATTTCTCATTTTATGACGTTTTGAAGGACCGCTTGAATTATTGCTTTTTCTTTTGAAGGATATACATTGTTGGATTGAATTACTGGTCATCCACCAAACCATCTATGCCATAACAATCGTCACAATTTTTTTTTGGGCATGGTCTTTAGTTTTCGAACCAGATGAACTCTAAACTTTTGATGTATTTGATGTTCATTTTGCTAGAGAGAAAACTTGTTGAGCCAATAGTGCAAATTCTTCGGGATCTTTGCATTGGGTTATCATTGTCATCAACTTGCTTTATTCTGTTATAAAATTAGCTGCTTGTTCATGATTTTTTAAAGTTTTTTTAGAGTTCTTTGCAACTTTTAATCCAGGCTTGGACTACTTTTGGGCAAGCATTAGTTTTAGTAAACATTTCCCACCATTTGATTTTTAGTTTCCTAGCAATATATTTCAGGGAGTATCGAGTTTCATCATCAGCTCGAAGATAAAAATTCCAATCGAATATTCATGAGACTTTAAAGATCCTTGAAAATTGAAAAAGTAACCATTTTCATTCATGTGAAAATTTGGTTCCTTGTGCTTTGAAATATTGGAATCCCTGATAAACGAGACTAGGAAGTATTTGTTCCTCGATTCCAAAATACAAGAACCAGTTCTAAAACCATGTTGAAAAATTTGTTTGGCATTTATGATCAAACCAAGAACGAGAAACTAGTTTCATGTCGAAGACATAATACCATGCATTTTGATAGTTGTAGTATTTTGAATTTCGAAGGAAATATTTTTTCTTGAACGTTGAATTTTTTTGTAATCCATGGACGTTGTCCCCAATCTTCATATGAGAGGATATTGAAGATTTTGAATTTAGAAAAATCTATTTTTATAGAGTTTAACTAGTGATTTATTTCTGCATAATGGGTATACTAAAGAATGAACTCATAATAGGCTCTGATTTTCCTGATATCGTCTAGCAGCTACCAAAATCCTTTGGAAGAATATTTTCAAGGACAATGTCGAACTGCCCGAAAATATTTGCCAGAAAGGATGACCCCCTCTCCCAACTGCTGCGGGTCCCGCCATGTAAAAAATGCCGACCACTGTAGCTTTATCTCTTCTATCAAGCCATCTGTCGACCGTTCTGGCGCTGTAGCACGGTTCTATTTTGAAAGCATTCTTCTTTTGATGCAAATTGAGTAATCCACTATCTTTCAAGTCCGAAGGTAGAATGATCTTTTTGACACAGTATGGAAATTTCAGTTACTACAGCCTTCTTCGAGTTGGTCGGGTGTGGAGAATTTGTGGCATTTTTGGAGGACAAATATCAAATAGGTTGATTGGCTGGATAGGATTTTGAATGGAGTTTTCGTTTTGGGCATATTACCTAAATTTTCTTGCTTTTATCACTCATTTCTTTTTTGACTGCAGAATAATTCTTTTACGCACCAATCCATAATCTAGAATAGTATCAAACCAATTTTTCCTGATCTTGAATCTTTGTTTAAGAATCCCCTCATAACCTACATCTGAGGCATCAGTCTCAACTATGTTCCATTGTCATTCAGACGTCTAGGTATGCTATATCTACTCTAAACTATTATTTCTTACATTACGTATGATATAACGACTTGAACATAAACGCTCAAGTCGGTACACAAATCATTGTCCAAATTCATTTAAATCAAAAAACAGTTGTTTTTCATTGGACTCGTGTAAGATTGATATATTCATACCTGTCTGCACTTCATTAGATAAACCAATTGAATTCAAGAGGAACTGAAATCTGAAGAAAATAAGATCAATTTTAATTATGAACTACCCTTTTTTTTTCCCCCTTATGCAATTTCAAAATTGCTAGTTGTCAAACTATAATATGAAAGTTCCACGAGAAAACAACATATGGCGTAAACTCTTATGTTCCAATACAAATTATTTGCTATGCCAAGCAAAATGAACCAATGCTTAGCATATTTATGGATGAAAAGTTGGGAGAAAATACCCCCAAAACAGAAACAGCTCACTGTGTGTGTTATGTTGGTTTGCTAGGTACTCAGAGCCATTTTGTGTGTCAACTAAATAATCATGCAGCAACCTTCTTGGAAGTCACAGAATTAATAATGGTGGCAAACTCAGGGCCCTGCAACACAGAAAATTGAAGATCAATCTCAAGCGTGCTATCATGAGAAAAATGAGAAGCTTCAAACACTGACTCGGCTTGTAACTGGGCAAGGCCAGCACATCCCAGTTTTGGGTGGCCCATGCCGGGTACCAACACAGTTCCTTTCTTGACCTGGCAGCCTAAAAATAAATAGGCCTGGCACAATCACATTTTCCTCAATCGAAACCATAAGGTGATAGCCTGGTATACTGGGAATTTCCCAGGAGGTTTAGAACATCGGCTCAAACCCCATGTACGAACCGGTTTTCCATAAAGCAACAAAAAATATAAAATAAAATAAAATAAATCACTTGCATCCCACTTTCCACAACTTGTTTATACTATAAGTACCTCAATTAGAACCAGCTCATCCACAAACCATATTTATCTGTATTTTGCTATCGACAATTTACAGATTGATACAGCACATAATTCATAAAAGCTAATCAGTTATTACCTCTGTAGCGTGTTGGACACCGACACTCCTCGAACAATCTACCATAATTTTTTTTCTTTTTTATTAATATTATACATTGTTACCTAAAAATTTTTAGTAAATAACAAATACGTACTCGTATTTGAAAGATTTCAACCAAAAATATTAATAACAAGTGTAAAACTAAATTTATTCAATACAAATGAAGAGTTTCAAAGAATTTAATCAACGTGTCGGTACTTTCTTTTTTTTTTTTTTTTTTTTTTTTTTTTTTAATTAATCGTGTGTCGACGTATCAGACACATATCGTGTCGGACACATGTGTCCCTGCATCATGGGTTATTACATATGTATTTTTTATCAATGCCATCAGCTTTGTGGAATGAAATTCATGACCAACCATTCTCGAACTAGTCCTACTCCTCTATGGGTGCTAGTGGAAAGACAAGGACAACGGACCTTTCAAAGTTGCAAGTGTGATCAGCTTCATATGGAAACATCTAATAGTGAAGTTGGTGCGGTCAGGAAATATTACTTCTTAAACATTTTTACATATATGGGGACGTCTAAGTTGTCATTGAGACAAGGAACCACTATCTTTATACAAGCACAGGCGACATTGCTAACTGCGTATTTGGTAAAATGGAAAACATTAAGAGCTCTCCCCTTTCACCAGTTTTATTCACGAGCATGTATTAGAAACTTATTCAGACATGAGGTAAGAGAAATGAGAATATGAGAAAGAAATAAAGCAGAGGTGTGTGTCCATTTGACATATTATATGTTCACTTAGACCACGTGAATAGCATGGCAATACCTTTAAGGAAGCACCACCCACGAGAAATCCATCAATATCTTCTTTTTTTGCAAGCTCTGCACAGTTACCTCCATTGACCGAACCTGTGGAGAAATTTTGAAAACATTCAGAAAATGGAAATAAATTGGCCAAATGTGACAATTAGCCATTAACATTAACTAAGGTTTCCTAATCAAATCAAAATACAGTTGATATTAGCTTACTTCTTCGAGACAATTATAAGTGTGATTGAGTAGGAGAATAATCAGCAATGTCTTGTTACTCACAATATGCCCATTGAAAAAGGGTGGAGATATAATGAACAGATTTTCAGTGAATCTTGATGTTTAAGCTAAATACTACCTACCTCCATAAATAATACGTGTTTTAGATGCAACTTCTGCAGTAACATTCTTACTAAGCCAATCGCGAACAGCTACATGCACTTCTTGAGCTTGCTCTGGTGTGGCCACTTTACCAGTTCCAATAGCCCATACTGGCTCGTATGCAATGACAATGTCATCCCAACTTGGCACAGCATCTGCACATCGTGAAAGTGTAAAATAAGCTGAAAATTCAATGAATGATTTCTTAAAAGAATTACAGTATGACCAGATTGATCTAGGGCGAGGGGAGCACATCTCAAAAGGTACAGAATTAATTCAGAGAAAGAGGACCCGCAAAAGCCTTCATTTGCTGAAAACAGATATCAAAAGTTTTTCCAGCTTCCCTTTCTTCTAACAGTTCTCCGATGCAAGCTATTACTCCAAGATTCTGGCTCAAGGCATACGCAGCCTTCTTTCCAATAAACTGCACAGCATAGTTATTTCATAAATCAGAGACTAGTAGCTCTTTCATTGGAGAAGTGAAGCATTAAAATAGATCCTTCATTGATGTTACTTCATTATTTTCTCCAAGTATATGTCTCCGTTCAGAGTGCCCAAGAATAACCCACTTGCATCCAAGATCTTTTAGTTGTTCCACACTACACAAAAAAGCTTAAATTTGCTTATTACATCAAACAAAGTTGTAGAATCCATGATGTCAATACATTCACATAGAACAAAATGTACCAACTCAAATCACTATGGTACCAACGTTTGTAATAAAAAAAGAAAAATTACAAAAATGAAAGGAGGAAAGGCATGGGTAATTCACTAATATGGTAAACACTACTGACAACTGGACTATCCACCACACAAAAAATTTTGACAAGATGGCCCATCAACATGAAAGCAAATAGCGAAGAACTGACTACATAACTCATCCATTGCTGATAAAAGCCCACGGCATGCGGTGCCATAGGAAATTTAGAAAATTTGTAAGTCAAAATTGCTATAAAAACCTGTATTTGAAACTATATCTACTTCAAATATCATCATGTACATAGCCCACCAAATATCAGTACTACGAACTGATGCCACCACACTAGGCATATTTATCCTAAATTAGGTTTTATAAAAAATTAGGTTCACGCACTCCTGCATTATGGCATCAGAAGTCGAAGACAATTTGATTTTACTTTTTATTGTCCCCATGCTGTACATATCCCAATCAAACGTAGTTTGAATCATTCCACAGCAGCAATATAATTTTAGAGACAATGTCAGGCAACACCATGGTAGCATTAACAAGCACAGGAAAAGAAACTTTAGTGATTCAGATATTTCTTATCCTAAACAAAATAGCACCTGATTCTTGGAGTACAGGAGTAGCATATCACTGACAATCTAAGCTTATATAGAAGGTCACTCGCCTGATCTCTCCAGTAAAAGCACCACTTTTTCCAGTCCAACAATTCTGGGCAGCTATCTCTATCCGCTCAATTAGTGTGTTCTTCACTTGGTCAAGGTATACAAAAGGAGGCGCCACAATGACATCTGCAAAGATCAAAGGAAAACTGAGATCCAAATACGCAGTGAATAAGTAAAATGGAAACTAAAAAATATCAGACGTAGGAGAAAATTCCAATTTCCAATATGATATGTTTGATATACAAGACAAAGTGGTGGACAAAATTAAGAGATAAAGAAGCTCAAAGGAAGACTTGTCCAACTTCCCCTTCTCTCTTGCTCATCAACATACTTCAACACAATGGCTAATAGATAACGTACCTCTACATATTTTACCAACTGATAAATCTATATGCATCATTTACATATTTCTCCAGTAGATATTCTTTGCCACAATAGACATCATACAATAGCTCATCGGTAATAAAGAAATTGCATGCTGCTTTAAAGTCTTCAAATGTGACATGGCATCAACTATTTCAGATAAAACTAAAATTTCCAATATTTTCCCCATAAATTATTGCAACTGGTATAAGGAACATCAAATAAACAATTAATTAAAGTCTAGAAGTTTTGATGTTTAATATCCTAGGTTGTAAAATATCGTGAAGCTTCAAATTCAGAATGAAGATGCTCGAAACAGCTAGACATCTGTATATTTTCCAAAACTACGTGAAGCCAAACTACAAAGAATTACTAGAAATAAGATAAGAACATAAAGAACTTCTCTTTATACTGATAAGATGATGTGAAGCATTCACAGAGCAAAATAACTCACCAACATCAGACTCCAACGTTGCACTGTTCAAGTCAGACACAAGCTTGCTTATGGAGTCTTTTGTTCCATTCTAAGTAAAATATAAGAAAAACTAGTCAAGCAAAGGTTAAAAAAAAGGAAAGAGAATGATTGTTCACCAGAATTTAAATTATTAAATCTATAATACACACAGAAGAGATAGAAGGGAAAAAATAGATCAATTCTAAAAGTCTAAAAGCTAAATCCATGGTTGTACGCCTCAAATAGCAAGAAATCCAAATAAGTTTTGACCTTTAATGAAGTTACGATATTCTTTCGTTAGGTGTACAAGTAAACTGTAACATTTTACTAACACAAATTTTTTTCCAGATCTCCTTGACAGTGCTCCCTACTTTCACATTTCACTGGACAATAATTTCAACCTGTTAAGAAACTGCCTTTGAATTTTAAAGGATTGGGTTGTATGGTTTCCTTTTCATGTTAGCATCTTGTTATATCCATTATTTGCCATTTATATTCCTCTAGACTTTAACATCTTTTCTTCAGTGTTACAAATCACTACCATCTGGTATCATGCAATAAGGGCAATGGGCTCAGTTACAATTTTATGTGATTTTCAGCTAATTCCATTCAACTCATCTTAAAATTAGCTAGATACTGAACCACTTCAACCAGATGATCTGGTAAAGAAATCATTGTTCACATTAACACAAAACTTTTATAAACTCAATTGATATAAAGATAACGAAATTGATTAATGACAAAAAATAAATTATACTTACACACTTCCAGTTTCCACCAACAAAGAACTGCAACCAAAAGAGAAGAAAGATTAAATTTCGAATAGATGAAGTCCATGATGCATTAAATTTGGCATTTTCGGTGAAGTACAATTACAAAATTATTTAAACAACATAGTATACACGAAAGCATTAATGAACGTTACAATAACATCAGCACATTCATAAAACTGAGCTGGACTATCATTAATATAAAAGTGCCAAATTGACAAACGCACGACCAAAAACGGTAGTTCAGTTCATTATTTCTCAAAGTAATACTAGATCTGAAAGTAACTAACTCCAATCGAAACCAAAACTCACGAAATCTCAAAATCACCTTGCCGGAGCCAGCCATGGTGACAACGCCACGGCAGCCTTTCCGAGAAGACGAAAGGCGGAGGTGAGAATCCACATTTTGGAAGAAAGAGTGAGTTGAGTTGGAGTTGTCAAGATTGAGAAATGACTTGCGCTGGCCGGAAAAGTGGCCGGAGAGTTGAGATCCGGTTCCGGTGAGTGACGTGGACACAACCGCCATACGTATATACTGTTTTTAGAAGCAGCTAGCACCTATCTATTTCTCTATCCGGTGGTAGTTTGTGTAGGGATCTGATTTCTGCCTCCTAAATATGTGGCTTTGTTTTTTACGCCAATAGCCTGTTTACTGAACATACTATCATCCCACGCGCTTTGTGAAAGCATGAAATCCACTGTCCGGATTATGCCCAGTTTGATGAAGATTAAAAATCGGTTTTTTAATAAATTTTAATAAAAATTGATGAAATATATAGTTAAAAAATATATATGATTAAAATTAATTATTAGATTTAAATTAAATTGAAATTTAAATGTTTAATCCCTACCATATAGGGAAAATATATTTTCTTTCATACTTACAAATAAAAATGTATAATTTAATGATAATTCTAATTTTACAATCAAAATTATAAATTGAAAAATTAATATATTGTTTCGATGTAGCAAATATGTCATAAATGTTTATTTAAGGTCGGAAAAATCTTGCCTTGTGTTTGATTAGGCAAAAAGAAATTGAGTCATGAGAAATTAATATTAACACGATAAACAATCATTAAAAAGTGTAAAAAAAAAAAGAAATATCATTTAAATTAAAGTAGGATTGCCAATTTTTTTTTTTAATGGTGTCATTATGTAAGAATATAACTATCTTGGGATTTTGCCAAAAAAAATAAAAAAATAAAAAATAAATTAGCTTGTCTATATGCAGTATGTTAGGAAAAAATGAAGAATGCAAAAAATATGTTTACAAGAAGAAGAAAGAACAAATAGAAAATATACAACTATGGGAAAAAAAAAACAATTTGAATCATTGAAGGGAGAAATTAGAAAATTGAGGCTGGTGTATTATTAATTTATTACACGGTATTCTTAAAACATATTCACCCCTTATGTTGAGAAGTCTCGCTGAAAATAATTTAGCATTGGGGGTATATGAAAAGATATACCAATAAAATAATGGTTTCCTACTTAATACTAATTCAAATCATTGTGAGTTTGATCATGTAATGCAAGATCACATTTATCGATTTCAAAATAAAGAGATTCATTATCGTTATCTTAAACATAAAATTCATAATGAATATCTACTTATGCTAACGGGTGATATCAAGAAAATAATCATTAAGAAACTCAAAGAATCTAAATATGTTACGCTTAATTGCACTTCAAATTCAAGTCACAAAGAACAAATGTATGTGTGTAGATACTTTAGCAAGTTGAACGAAGATAGAAGAATCCTTCGTAGGTTTTTTTATTGTGAATGATACATCTGGGAAATGACTTTATGTAAACATGTGTCTGCTTTGAATAATCTAGAAATTGATATTGATAATATAAGGTGTCAATGCTATGGCAATGGTGCTAAGATGAAAGCAAAATATGAAGGAGTGCTGAATAGATTGAGGCACACTAATTTGAAAAAATATATTTTGGAATAGTAGATTAATAGAGAATGTGTGGTTAAAAAATAAAAAAAAATTTTAAATTTGCATGTAATATTATTTTATTGAAGAATGTGTGGTTGAAATGATGTCAAATCACTGTTTAAAAAAGCATTTTCTTGAAAGATGCGGCTCAAACATGGTCTAAATCCTAGAGCATTATACACTCGTTGTGGGTATTATGGTCTTAATTTTACACTTTGTGATATTGTCATGTATTGTTCAAAAGCTAACTTCCATTTGGAGTGGTGCAACGTAGATACACTTTATTTTCATCATTTACTAGATAATGAAATTTTTTTGAAAAATAATGTAAATGACCTTACATTTAAGTCCTTGCCGCAAAAATGATGGGAAAGCCAATTTTAAAATGTTAGTGCGATAAGATTCCAAGCTCCACAGATAAAAAATGTTCAACTTTAATTGGCAAGTGTTCATGATCCTTATACAAAAAAATGAGGTCAAGTGTTTGGCAACATATAAATTTGAGAATATTGTATTCTTACTTGGATTGTTATTTAATATGAAGTGTTGAATAATGTTAATAGAATACGGAAATATTTGCAAACAGAAAACGTGCATAATGATGTTGCTATAAACAAAGTTCTCAATTTATTTTTTAAAAACTATAGAGAAACTGGGTTTTAGAATCGGTCATGATTGATGTTAAAGAGATTGCAAGTGAGTTAAAAATTGAACTACTATTTCATGGAAAAACGAGTTATATATAGAAAGAATCAATTTAATAAGATTTATTGCCAAGAGATGATAGAATCAACTGAAGAATCCTTCTAGGTTAATTATTTTATATATATAGTTGATCAAACTCTATCATCACTCCAAAATAGATTTGAAAAATTGCGAAAATATGATGATATTTTTGAATTTTTTTATTTTTATTTGGAGAAGCTTAAATATATTGATGATGCTATATTGAAAAGTCCTTGCATTAACGTTGAAAATAACTTGAAGCATAATATGATTTCTAACTTTTACTGAGTAGAATTATTTTTTTTGAGTAGAAAGTTAAAACCTAATGGAGCAACTGTTGTGTTAGATTACACTAAGAGAATGAGTTCTTATTTTGTAAATGTTTGAATTACTTACTGAATCTTCATGTCATCGTTGCCTGCATAAAAAGAAGTTTTTCAAAGTTGAAGTTGATGAAGTCTTGTCTTCGATCAATCATGTCACAAAAGAGATTGAATAAATTAGTTATGATTTTAAAAAAAGCATGTTGAAAAAATTTAATTTGAGTAGTTCGATTACAAGTGAGAAGGCTATAATTATGCTAACCTAATCTCTTGGATTGTGAGAAATATGTAATTTAATTTTGATACTTTATCTTTTGAATTATACAAAGTTTTCGTTTGAATATAAATATATTTTTATTTAAATTTTTAAGTATCGTTACGCTTACAAAAGAAAATTACTTTTTAAGGGTCTCATTAAGGACTTCAAAATTCTTAGGTTTGAACCTGCAAATCTCTAAGGTACTTTTACAATTTCTTTGCATGTTGAAGTCTAAAGTATGATGCCTCATCATGGAGTTAGAGCTAGTTAGGGTAACAATAACTTGATTGAACTTTATAATTTTGAGGTTTCTTTTAAAATGCATAATTCAAATAGACATTAAGAATTTCTCCTCCAATTTGTCCTGGATTGGACTTTATGACAAAAAACTGCTTACAACTCCCACTCTGTGTGCAATTTTGCATTCATCATTGACTTTTTCTTCCTTGTGGATGGACATATCCAACATAATCAACTAACAAAAACACAGATGTATCGTGGTTTACCATGAATGCAAGATTTACGTCCACTCACCACTATGAATTCTTCATTAAAATTGAGAAGAAGTTTACAATAGAGACTTGTTATTTCATTAAGGATCATACAAATCTAGGACATCGATATACATTTTGGGATAGGTGAACAGTAAAAGTCTCTACGTTTTAACATTAGATACTTCTAAGCATAACCTTTATGAGACTAGTGAGTGGGGGATTTATTTTATTGTTCTTTAGGTTACTTTCCTATCTTCACTTGATTCCTAATGCACAATGACACAATGATAATGATCCAAATGCTGGGAAAACCAAGGACATGCTATAATCACTTTTGAAAACTTGTATGGATTTTGGAACCTTAAATGATAGGTAAGTTAATTTCTGTGTATTACACTATTACTATCAATGTTCACTAAGCTTTTGGTAATGACTAGGCAAGAGTGAGCCAACATACAATCCAATAACATAAGTAGTTGTGAAAAAGAATGATTAAAGGGGATAAGATTAAATTAAAATAAAGTTAGGCGGTGATGACTTTGTAGGACTAAAACGAATTCATAAACAATTGTTGGCAAACAGATAATGATTAAAGGGGATAATTAAAACGAAGTGAGATGGTGGTGGCTGTAGGAAAAAAAAGAAATTGTTCATTTTATCAATAGGCAAAAACAAGAAGCTCAAAGAGATAAAGAAAAGAAGAGGAAGGAAAAAAACGATTGGATCAACATTTAAGTTGGAGGACATTGAAATCTGTCAAAAGTCCAAGTTGATTAACAAAAAGTTTGTCCTGTTCTTACATAGTCTTGGTTAGTTCAAAATTTAATGCCAATTTTGAATGCTTCAATGCTCCAATTGCAGAAATTTTAACCTTTTCATTGCCTTCTACGATGCCCAAGTCGTGGAGACTCTTCTCCGCCCAACGCAGAGATGCCCGGTCTCTGCGCAGGGCGAAGGCACGACCGTCTCTGCACTCTGGCAGACCTGTACCATACTTCCAAGTTCCAATAAATAGACCCTTGTGGAGCTTCAAAACCTTAATCTTTTTCCTGAGCACCCAACACCAAATTACTATATATACATAACTTTTCTTTTACTCATATGCAAGTTACTTTAGGGGGTAATCAGGAATCATATGGAAATAATGTTAAAAATAACATATAGTTTTAGGACAAAAATTTGTTGTCGATCAATTTGAAGCTTATGATCGTTGTTTTCTCTATTTATTTATAGTGGAAATTATACAAAACCATATTTTAACTACTCAAAATTCCTAAACCAGATGGGAAGTTTGACATTTCAAAATTCAGATTTTTTTTAATTATTTAAATAAACTAATTACCTAAAAAAAAAAAAAAAAACCTATCCACAACCCAAATGCAGCCCCCATCCGTTCCCTCTCCTCCGCTCGTCTCTCTCTACCCTTCACTCTCCGACGACGGCAGCCGCGCCCTCTCCATTGCTCGTCTCTTTCTATCCCTCACCTCTCAACCTGAGACCGTCATCGCCAAACTGAAGCTACTTGAAGCCATCGGACTGAAGGCACTGTTATCCATCGTCGCTATCAATCACTGTAAACGGCGAACTCATCGCTAACGGCGCTTGAGTTTGCTGCCTACACGACGATCAGAAATTCGGCCGCGTGCAGCGAGGTGGTGGTTGTCATGTGGTGGTATTGTGTGAGTACTGTGGGCGGTGGTTGTGCGCTTGAGTTTGCTGCCTACACAGACGATCATAAATTCGTCCTCGTGCAGCGAGGTGGTGGTTGTGATGTGGTGGTATTGCGTGTGTATTGTGGGCGGTGGTTGTGCGTGGCGATACGAGTGGTGGCGGTTGTTGATACGGGCGATGGGATGGTT